AGGACCAGTGGTGTGAGTTTTCAAATTTCTGACAAGTGTCTTCAATGAACACGAGTTGCAAGGTCATCTTTTTTTTTTTCTCCTTTCTCTCTCTCTTTCTCTCTCTCTCTCTCTTTTTCTATTCCTGTCCCTTGTACATGCAAGATCATCTAAGATGTTGACTTCACTTATACATAGTAGCAAATGACTAATTAGGCAGCAACTACAAATTACTACAAGAACAGAATAATTTGGGTTGATTGGGTTAAGCAATGAAAAAAATTGCATCACATGGAACACACCGAAATGCACTGCATCCTTCATGTTTCTGCAGATTGCATCCCCACCTGGGAACAATGGTTTAACCAGCCACATGATGCCTTAAACAGAGAGGCTGGTTAACAATTACCTGCTTGATCGTCTGGATAATCCATAGGTTCAGTAAACATTGGCTGAGCACTAACTCTAGCCAGGCACTCTTCTAGGTATTGGTAACAGAGCAGTGAACAAAACAGTCTCTAGTCGGCCAGAGTTCTGGTCGAAGATGTTATACGACAAAACAAGCAAGCAAAATACACACCATATGTACATACATAATGTTGAGTAGAAACATGAGATGGAAAAGAGTAAAACTGGACCAGGGTTAGAGTTAAAATGAGAGTAGAGCATTCTATTTCAGATAGAAACGCTAAGCAAGGTCTTTATGATGAAGCGCAGAGACCTGGCTGAGGTGAGGGATGACCCATACTAACTGGAAGAGTGAAGGGGGTGTACACGGGGCATAGCCAGGAGGCCAGTGTAGCAAAAATGAGTAACAGGGAGGGTGGAGTGGTGGGGAGGATATGAAGACATTTTCAGAGACATAACCAGGGGCTAGACTGAGTACTTGCAAGGCATGCTAAGATTTTCAATATTACACAAAGTGTGGTCAGAAGCCATGACACAACTGGACTCACACTTGAATGGGTTCCTCCTGGCTGCCATAGTGGACAAGGCCAAGTGTAAGAAGCACAGGGACAATTAGAAGGCTGTTTTGATAGTTCGGGTCCACTGGGATGGTGGTTTGAACTGGGATGGTGGGGATGGAGCTGAAAAGTAGTTAAATTTGGCATATATTTTGAAAGTGCATTTGGAAGAATTTTTTCATATGCTGAATGTATTATGTGAAAATAAAAGTCAAGGATGACACCAATAATTTTGGCTTGAACAACTGGATAAATCAACAACTGATGTATTGCTATCATGAAGATTGGGAAAAGGTTTGGCAGTGGTGTTTTCTTTTGGACTTGGTTAGTTTGCAATAGTTGTGAAGGGTGCAATTTGATACATGAACCTGGACTTAAATGGAAAGGTTAGAATAGGAGATAAGTTATGGACTTGTTTGCACATGGCATTGTGTTGGCATGGTGCTGACACTGCTTCAGTGCTGGTGCACAGCAAAGCCAGGCTCTGCATTGAGTACTTACTGGTAATGCACAGATTGCACTTCACTATTCTCTTTAAAAATAACCCTCTCCCCCCACACACGGCATAACCTTGTTGTTCTCAAACATGCTTAGAGTTTTAATTTGTTTTCTTTCAGATATTCGAAGGCAACTGAGAATTATGTGTATTGTGCTCAGTGGCCACAGAGACAAATTAGTGTACCCCAGTGGTGGATATATATGCGTTTTCAACTGAGTAGGGAGTTGGTGCCACTAACAAATGAACAATTTTGGAACATCTCTAAGAGCTAAACTAAAAAGAATTGAAAAGCTACTCTAAAGAGCTTCCCAGGCTAACTTCTGTTGTTTGGAGGGCATATTGAGGTCACACCTAGTCCAGCTTCAAGATAATTCTGAAAGCACTCTGGTGTAGCCTGCATCGTATCCTATCTGACATCCCTGAGGGGACTCCAGGAGACACCTTCAGGATGCGGTCCTTAGTGAAATCCAGGGAAAATATCCTACAGATAGCCACAAATATCACTAAAGAACTTTTTGGAACATAATTGCCTGGATGCCTCCTATCTCTCCCCCATCCTTGGATTCCACTGAAGAAACTCCTGGTATTTAAAGGGTTTGCACCATCATAATGAAACATCCATTTCAGTGAATCGTCCATTTTACTGTGTGTGTGGGGGGTGAGGGGTGGGGCAGGGGGTGGGAAGAGGCATGAAACATGAAAATGGAGACTCTTCAAGCAGTTGTTGCATTATTTTTATCTTTCTACTCATTTATATAGGTTGAGGCAGGTTTGATGTGCCCTTCAGTATTTCCTCAAATTTGACAAACTTGTGTTTCCCTCATTCATTTTTTAGCTGGCAGATGCACATTGGCTACTGATGGCTGTCAGCAGCTGCTGGTGCCCTGCCCTTCTTTATCTGATGTCTTTGTCTCCATCTCTCTTGAACTTGGGTGCCAGCAGCTGAGAGTGATTCATCCCCTGTGTGTTCCCCATTATTCTATATTTTTATGACAGACGATTTAGTCAAAGTTACAAAGAAGGTGTTTTAACTTAATCCATTGAAAACTCATCTGGTTAATTGAAGATCGTGAGCAAGTTTTCCTTTCTTAGGAAGGAGTCAGCTTTGGAGGTCATCGGAGCTGGGAAATAATGTATTTATGTGATTACCTACCGTATCAAGGAAACTTAAATTTCTCTCGTTGGAGTATATTTTTCAGAAACAGTTAACTGAAAGGATACTTCTAGCCCTGTGGCCTTTTCCTCCTTCAGCCATGCTACTTTGCTGTCTGAATTATTCTACCTTGTTTATACAGAACCCATAGCTTTTATTCTGTCTTTTAAATAATAATGTATTTTATCACACCTGGTAGAAATTTACTAGTCACAAACTGAATTATTTAGAGGATTTTGTACAAGTTTAGATACCCTTGAACTCGAGAACTTGTGATGAAAGCTTATGATTATCTTAAGACTGTGGCAATATACAAACTTGTGCAATGTCATTTCTGCAGGTGAAGACTGAAAATGAAAGCTTATTTACAACCACATTTCTTCAATGTGATAAGTTCCTAGGGAGTTCAGGGATTATTATTTTTAAAATGTGCTTGCTGACTGCCACTCTGCTACCAAAAATAGCTAGTCTGAGGGGGCTAAGTGTTAAAGGACATTCCTGGAAACTATTTCATTGGAGACCATTTGTGACAAAGCATTCTTGAGTTCTTTTTCAGTACCTTCTTTCTCTGCATTCTAATTTCTGTAAAAGGAGCTCAGTGTTTTTTTTTTTAAATCAAATGTACTTCTTACTGCCAAAATGTCTAATGGAAAAATTAACTTGAGCTGGTAGTTTATCTCAACCATTTCAGAACATCTAATTATTAATGGGATTCAGTGCCACCAAACACACCATGTACTACAATACTATTTTAGGAGGCAGAAGAAAGGATCGAAAAGAAAATTATTGGTGTTTGAGCCCGGAAATCTGGAGTCTGGGAGTTTAAAAGTTCTCTGTTAATAATCCAGTGACCTTGAACAGGTAACTTTGCCTATCTGATCCTGGGTCTTCAGCTATGAAATGCAGCCAAAAATGACCGCCCTGAGAGCCAGCCGTTTGTGTCAAAGTGTTACATCAGTGAAAATCACCACCGATTTGGATAAACACATTGCAGTATATGAATCCGACACTTCATGATTTCACACTACACGAATTTGGAAACTACTGCATGTTCATGGTTTCCCGTGTAGTTCCCTATAGATGAGAGAGTTTATTAATATTTTGGGAAAAAAAAAAAAAAAAACCTGCGAGGACTGTAGCCCTGACCTGAAGATGAGTCCCAGAGAGGTTTTGCAGGGTACAGTCATAGAGAAATTGACTTTGGGATGAGCAAAACCGAGATCCTGAGGTTGCAAACACTTTTCCCCGTAAGGGGTTGGTGTCATTTGCTTCCTTTATACGCAGGTATGAAAGTGACCACAAACCACAGAACGTGGCACAGGGTTCGCTATTAGGAACCATTCCAGGAAATGACCCTCGGACCAAGATATTTACAATAACCCGGGATACTCACTGCAGGCGAGAGGCGGAGAGGAGGGCGCGGGGAGGATTCAGGGGCGGGCCAGACGGGGGAGGACACAGGTTCCAGAGACTTCTGTTTTAAGGCTCTCCCGGATCAGCGAGAGCGCCCTTGAGGAAGAAGGCTCGGAACGCGGGGAGCGACCGCTGGGAACGGCGGCTGCAGTCCCCAGGTCCCGCGCGCCCTTTGCCCCTGCTCAGCCGGTTCGGGCGCGCCCACGGCACCAGCCTGGCGCGCCCCACGCGGGTCTCCGCTTGCACCGCGGCGCCCCCACCCGGCCCGCGCCGCCGCATCCCACTTGCCCACCAGTAACGGTTTC